CATAATAGAATTGATGTTGAGATCCACATTAGCACCATTTTCAAGATCCAATGTATTGTAATGCATATCAAATTCAATGGAAACAAATAGAGATTCGGTTGAGGCCTATTGCTCCCAAATATTAACAAAAAATATTAGGGTTTTTGTAAGCAGGAGGCAAGAATGGACACTTACCAAGTTAGTTCTTCCCTCCCCTCTAAAAAATGATATGGGATCTGCATCATCTTATAAGCAAACTTAACAATGTTAACAATTTTATCGAATTGTTATGTTTTTATAATAATATTATAAGGGGGATAAATTGACCAATTTAATAGTACATGGTCTAAATTGAACATTATAGGCGAAATGTTGTGCTTAAATCTATCTCAAATTATTTCTTGCTTCATTAACATGCTCATTGCCCTAGTGGACTTCTACTTATGAAATGGTTCAAAAGTTGCTATAATCATAGTCCATTATCACTACAGAGATGATGAGATTAAAAAAACACGCCAACCCTCCCCCCTCACTCAACATTTTGTGTTATTGGCTTGGTGGGAACAGTATTTTATACTGGAATTTTTTCAATTATCTATTCTTGCAGGAAAATTGTTCTTGCAACAAATATTGCAGAAAGCAGTATAACTATTGATGATGTAGTGTATGTCATTGACTGTGGAAAGGCTAAAGAGACTAGTTATGATGCACTTAACAAACTGGCTTGTTTATTACCATCATGGATTTCAAAGGCCTCAGCACATCAGGTATTCTAGTTATGCTCTAAAACTTTCACACTTGATTGGTATATTCATTTTTGAGAATGCTGCTGGTTGCTATGTAGAAATTTTACTTTCTCCAACTTATTGGTTAATGGTATTACTGTTGGAAAACCATAGAGGCGTGGTCGTGCTGGTCGTGTGCAACCTGGTGTTTGTTATAGATTGTACCCAAAACTACTACATGATGCTATGCTTGAATATCAACTTCCTGAGATTCTTCGTACACCTTTACAAGAGCTTTGCCTCCATATTAAGAGCTTACAGTTGGGAGCTATCAGTTCATTTCTGAACAAGGCACTTCAACCTCCAGATCCTCTCTCTGTTCAAAATGCTATTGAACTTCTCCAAACAATTGGAGCTCTAGATGATGCAGAGGAGCTTACTCCACTTGGTAAGTAATGTCGCAAGATCTATTTCAACATTTTACAGATTGGAGATTTTACTGCCACATGAACTAATTTTACTCAACAGGGCGCCACTTATGCACTTTGCCTTTGGACCCAAATATTGGAAAAATGCTTCTGATGGGTTCCTTCTTCCGATGCCTAAACCCTGCACTGACAATTGCTGCTGCTCTTGCACATCGAGATCCATTTGTCCTTCCTATAAATAGGAAAGAGGAAGCAGATGCTGCGAAAAGATCCTTTGCTGGTGATTCTTGCAGGTTAAGCCTTGAAGCTTATCTACACTGCTCTTTGCCTTGAATTACTCATAATCTTTTACTGATGCAAAAAATCAACCCCCCCCCCCCCCCCCCCCCCCCCCTCTTCTTTTTGAAACAGTGACCATATTGCACTTCTCAAAGCTTATGAAGGATGGAAAGATGCTAAGCGGCAGGGTCAGGAAAGAGCCTTCTGTTGGGAAAACTTCTTGTCACCAATAACCATGCAAATGATGTCAGATATGAGAATGCAATTTCTGGATCTTCTTTCTGATATTGGTTTTATTGATAAATCCAAAGGTCCGCAGGTAAGTATTTATTTCCAAATATGTTTTGGTTGAACATTTCATTTAGAAATCCTTGCATGCAAAATAATGTGCCACCTGGACTTGTTTCCAAATAAGTACAAGCTGATACTGTCTAGGCTTATTGATTGTTCTAGTCTGGTGAATTAGAGCCAAATCCAATGGGCTTTGCAATTAAAAGATACTATTCTGTCTGCAGGCTTACAATGAATACAGTAATGATTTGGAGATGGTATGTGCAATCCTCTGTGCTGGGCTCTACCCTAACGTTGTTCAGTGCAAAAGAAGAGGAAAACGCACAGCATTTTACTCCAAGGATGTTGGAAAAGTTGATATTCATCCAGCATCTGTCAATGCCAGTGTTCATCTCTTCCCTCTCCCTTTCTTGGTCTACAGCGAAAAGGTCAAAACAAGCAGCATCTTCATAAGAGACTCGACAAACATATCAGACTACACGCTTCTTATGTTTGGTGGTAATCTGATTCCTAGTAAAAGCGGAGATGGTATTGAAATGCTCGGGGGGTACCTTCACTTCTCTGCGTCAAAGAGCGTGCTGGAATTAATAAAGGTAATTCTGATAATACCTTTGAAAGGTGCTTTCTCTCATTTTATTGCTGTGTTTTAGCCTTAAGCTCATTTGTGAAACTGCAGAAATTGAGGGGAGAGCTTGATAAACTTCTGAAGAGAAAAATTGAGGAGCCTGGCCTTGACATTTCAACCGAGGGAAAGGGTGTCGTTGCTGCTGTTGTTGAGCTGTTACACAGTCAGAATGTTCGCTACTGAATACTGATGCACAAAAAAAAAAGAAGAAAAAAGAACTCCTATAAATTTGATTACAATAGTCCCCATGCTTCATAATGCAAACTAGTTACCAATCCTTTTTGTAAACATTATCTAACCTAAAATCTAAAAAACATAATAACTAATAAGTCTCAATTTAGGTTATACGCCATTTATGTTTGTTTTTTCTGTGAATTTTTTAAAATACATTATGCTATAGAGTTGTATTATATAATTTTTTGAACAAAAATATCTCTATTGTTATAATTTTTGTATGTTTTTTATTATTACCATGCACATGTATATGTAATATCTTTTCATATATATATATATATATATATATATATATATATATATATATATATATATATATATATATATTTCAATGGTAATAATGTGTGTAGACATTATATATTGGAGTAATATAGTGAATAAGTTTGATTTCATTTAGTTTTTAATTAAAATATTATTATAATTATATTTAGTAATTTATTATATCTAAAAGTTTTATTTTAATAATATTAATCATATATATATTATAATTATTTGTCTTTCAATGATGATATGATATGACAAATTATATTGTGCACAATGTATTGTGCGCCTAAGAGTTTATGTGTATTATGTTAAGAGTTTATGTGTATTATGTTAAGAGTTTATGTGTATTATGTTAAGAGTTCATGTGTATTACGTTAAGAGTTCATGTGTATTATGTATTATGTTAAGATTATGTGTATTATGCTAAGAGTTTATGTGTATTCTATTATACAATTATGTACATAAGAAATATGAGATTTTTAGAGCATACAATACATTGTGTGTCTAAGTGCACGATATAACAATTGATATGATATGATATACGGACTTTTATCAATTATATATGAATTAAACAAATATTTTAATATAATAAATATTTTAACTTTAATTATAAGTATAGGTATATATTTTTATGCATCACACATATAAAATATTAGTATTAAGTATAAACATTAAAATTCAAAAAAAAGTTCATTCAAAAAAAAAAAAAGTATAAACATTAAAATTCATTTTTATCGTTGCGGTGCTTCATAAAGTATTGCTCCTTACATGCAAAAATGAGTTCACTAGTTCCTTATCGGGTATTAAAAATTTTTAAAATCTGAGTTTGAATGATCAAAAATATATTTTAAAAGTTTTCTTACTTGTAAATTGTAATATGTTCTATATATCACCAAATCATTAATTAGTAACTCTCTCATGTGATATATATGTAGTATTTTTTAGTTAAAATAAAATATTTTTTAAAATTATATGAATAAATATTATATTTTTGTTACGTTATCATTAGTTGGTAACTGTCATGTGATATATATGTAATATACTTACATTCATTAAAAAAGTTATTTAAACTAGTATTGTATTTATTTGTTTTAAAAAAATATTATACAACGGTTTTATATAAAGTTTTGTGCTAGAATTAAATACCCATTAATGCATAGATATTTGGTCAAACCTTAGTGTCAATCCTAAGGAAATTCTTACTCTAGATTCTACATATATCATGATTATAAGAAATTCATTAATTAAAATATTGAACATATAGCTAGATGTGCATAATATGGGGGGAAAAAATAAAATTACTAGCCATACAGGGCCACAGTTCTATATGTACCCTTACCTAACTTTAAGTAGACCAAGACTGTTATTTTCAAAAAAAAAAAAAAAAAAAAGTAGACCAAGACTGATTCGGTATTCAATAAATTCATGCATGTGCAATCTTTTCTTTCTAGCTATCTCATTTTGGGTCACTTGATCCTAAGTTGTTTTTTTTTTTTAATAATATTTTTTTTTATTTGAGATATTCTTTATCCTCTAAACCATGTAATACAAACCACAAAAATTTGTTGATCATAAAAAATTGATAAGATATCAATAATATTTATATTGTTTTGTTGGTTTACCCAAGGTTTTTCACCGTCGAATACAGTGACTAATTCCCTCGTTGAATTGTAGGCACCTCTTTTGGATGGGACGACACCAATTCAGTTTTGACAAAAATCAGACTACTGACTCCTTAGTATCAAAATTATGCTTAGGCCCTATTTAGTAAAATAGTAATCAATATAAGTGTTTGGTTAATTAGCTTTTTTTGTAACTCCAAAATGCTAAAATTCAAAAAGCTACTCAAAACAACTTTTTTCAATTAACTTTTTAAAAAAAGAAATTATAATAACTATCAACTAACACTAATTTACCAACGACTTTTCTACGATTAGCCAATGTCATCAACTAGTTATACCATCTAATTAAGCCAATCAACTAACAACTAACAACCATTTACCAAACAGGACCTTCATCTATCCGATTATTCTTTTCAAGACATGCAGCATGCCTCTCTCTCTCTCTCTCTCTATATATATATATATATATATATATATATATATATATATATAAAAGATGGCTGTTCTTTAATTTTTAGATATTCAAGTAAGAAATACAACTATAAATATTTAATTTTTAGAGTATGAAAACATATCAACTTGTTACTTATGTAATGCACAAATAATTTGTATATACAGTGTATATATACACACACGATTTTGGTGTGTGATATGAAAAGATGGAAGCTAGGATTGAAATGGATGATGGTGATGAGGTGGTAGCACACCTTGTACTGTGAAGGTAGCAAGCATTTCAACACAAGGCGAATCCTTCCAAATATCAGAATGGGTTCGCAGAATCTCTCTTGCTTTATCCTTCAACGAAGATGCACAGTTCGCCTGAAGCACCATGCAAAGCTTCGCCACCGTCCCCACCCTCGCCATCTCTCCGATCACTCTACTCGTCGCCGAAAACCTAGATATCGACGACAGCACCCGCAGCGCCTCATCGTCCGCCCTCGCCGACACCTTCAGGATCGCGTGGCTCACCGCCGCTATCCCCGCCGCGTGGCCCACCAGCTGCGCTCTCCCGTCGGCGCAGCAGCAGAGGTGGGATAAGATGCCCAGAACTAGCTCCGTGGTTTTGTTTTCACGGGAGTTGTTTATTTCCACCTCGATGAGCTCGAACACCGCCCCGGATTCGTTCATGGCGGCCCGGTTTCTCCCCCAGTGACAGGCCGCCGACATGACGTGTAAGGCGGCGTTGATTCCTTGCGGATTCATCTTGTTTTTTTCTGATTCCCTTAGAATGGTCACTAGTTTCTTCAGGAGCTCCGGTTTTAGCCTCTCTAGCAGCGCGGCGGAATAATCCCCTTTCGCCATTAACGTTCTCAACACGCACAATGCATGCGTTTTTATATCTCCGGCGGGATCATAATTATCCAAAACCCATAAAAACGAGTCCAGAATCCGATCATTTTCCGACGAAACAAATTGGCTCAGTTCCCCGGAAAAGTTTCTCATTAAATAAAGAATTCTGAGAGCTTCTTCCAGTCCGGCGGTTTTTCCTTCTTTGTAACACTCGACAACAAACGACAACATCTCCTTAACCACGCCGGCCTCCGCCATGAACTTCCGATTCCTCTCGCTCTCCGCCGCCACCATATCCAGCTTCCGCAGCGCTTTCAAACGGAGGATCGGGACGGAGAGGGCCCGGACTAGGTTAACGGCGTAAGCCTTGGTTAGAGGAGGATTAGGCGGCGGAATCCGGTGGACGCCGGCGGCTGCGCCGGCGGCGGCCCACGACTGAATGAGGCGGTGGAGAGTGTGATTGGGCGTTAACTCCGCGCCTCTCGGCAACGGCTGCTTCGTCACCGGACACAACATAGTCCCCCGACCATCGGACAACCATTTTTCGATGCTGTCCCTGTCGTAGGTTATGCCGGACGCCGCCGTGACGGGATCCTTCATGATTTGAAGCGAGATCGGACACATAAAATACTCCGGAATCTCACCAC